AGACCGCCTCAGCCTGGACTTCATTGTCCATATAATTATCAGTACTTTGGTCAAAGCCATTCAACAAGTCTCTAGGAAGTTCCAAACTTTCCCACATTTTCTTGTATTTTTCTGAGCCCTTCAAACTGTTCTAACCTCTGCCTGTCACCCAGTCCAAAGACGCTTCCATATTTTTTTTTTTGAGACAGGGTCTCACAGACTGGAGTGAACTGGTGCAATCTCAGCTCACCGCAACTTCTGCCACCCAGGCTCAAGTGATTCTCCTGCCTCAGCCTCCCAAGTAGCTGAGATTACAGCTGTGTGCCATTACCATTGGCTAATTTTTGTATTTTTAGTAGAGATGGGGTTTCACTGTGTTGGCCAGGCTGGACTTGAACTCCTGACCTCAAATGATCCATCTGCCATGGCCTCCCAAAGTGCTGAGATTACAGGCATGAGCCACCATGCCCGACAGCTTCCACATTTTCAAGTACCTTTACATCCATGCCCCACTCTCTTGTACCAATTTACTGTATTAATCCATTCTCGTGTTGCTAATAAAGACATACCCAAGACTGGGTGATTTATAAAGGACACAGGTTTAATTGACTTATAGTCCAACATGACTGGGGAGGCCTCAGGAAACTTAAAATCCATGGCAGAAGGGGAAGCAAATATATCCTTCTTCACATAAAAGCAGCAAGGAGAAACGCAGAGCAAAGATGGGGGAAAGCCCCTTATGAAACCATCAGATCTCGTTTGAACTCACTCACTATCATGAGAACAGCATAGAGGTAACCATCCCTTCCATGATATGTGGGAATTATGGGGACTGTTATATAACTCAAGATGAGATTTCGGTGAGGACACAGCCAAACCATATCATCTACCTTCAGACTTGAATCAGAATCTGACTACTTCACACATCTCCAGTGCTAATAGCTTAGTGTATTAGGCCATTTTCACACTGCTATGAAGAATACTTCAAGACTGGCTAATTTATAAAGGAAAGAGGATTTATTGACTCACAGTTTCAGATGGCTGGGAGGCCTCAGGAAACTTACAATCCTGGCAGAAGGTAGAGGGGAAACAAGGCATGTCTTACATGACAGCAGGAGAGAGAGAGAGAGCAAGGGGAAATGCCACACTTTTAAACCATCAGATCTTGTGTGAACTCACTTGCTATCATGAGAACAGCATGGGGGAACCACTCCCATGATCTAATCATCTACCACCAGGTCCCTCCCTTGACATATGGAGATTATAATTTAAGATGAGATTTGGGTGGGGACACAGAGCCAAACCATATCACCTAGTCTGAGTCACCATTTTAATAATAGCCTCCTATCTGGCACCAAAAATTCTCAATCCCCCAGGGAATTCTGAATACAATAGAGTGACCTCATTGAAAGGTAAGTCAGAGCATGTCAGGCCATGTTCAAAATCCTGCAGTGGTAAGAGGCTAAGTGATCTAGCTCACCATTCTCATGTGGCGTCATCCCGGCTCTCCTTATTTTCTTGTCTCTATTTTAGCTGCCCTGGCTCCTCCTCACAGATCCTCAATGCTCCAGGAAGTCTCCCGACTTGGGCACTGAGCTCTGGCTGTCTGGAATGTTATTTCCCTCAATATCCATATGATTCAATCCCTCATCTCCTTTCCATCTTTACTCAAATGTCATCTTCTCAAGGAGCTCTTCCTTGAATACCTATTCCAAGATTGCAACATTCAAAACTTCCCATCCTTTTTGTGTATTTTATTTTTTCTCCTTGGCCTTTATCGCTACCTAAAATTCTGCAAGTTTTCCTTACTTATTTCTTCCTCTACCAGAATATAAATTCCACAAGGGTAGAACTTTTTATCTGTTTCATTTACTTCTGAATCTCAAGTCCTTAACAATGCTTTGAGAATAGTTAATATTCAATAAATATCTAAACGAATAAATAAAAAATGAACTACTGAGCATATTGTAAAAAGAACCAGAGGAAATTTTAGAAATAAAAAATAATTGAAATTACATACCTAAAACCTGGATTAAAGGGATAATTAGTTTTCAAAGAAAGGCAGGATATCAACAAAAGGGAGATATTTCATGGCTCATTTATGAGGCTAGCATAAATTTGATACCCAAACCAGCAACTATGGTAAGAAAAACAACAGACCAATGTGGCCCATGAAATAGATACAAAAATCTTAAACAATCTTATTGAACAAAATCTAGCCATGTGAAAATGATATAGTAAAATTACATACATAATATATTATATATGTATAATATATATAGTAAAATTCCATTTACATAAACTTTTTAATTAGAAAACACTAACAATACAAGTATCCTTCATTACCCAAATCTATTTGGGATCTATTTTGGACTGAATGTGTCTCCTCCAAATTTATATGTTGAAATCTAATCCCCAATGGCATAAGGAGGTCTTTGGGGGATTTATGAAGGAGCATCCCTCATGAATGGAATTATTACCTTATACTGAGAGGCCAGAGAGCTTTCTAGCTCTCTCCACAAAATGAGGATACTACAAAAGTCAGCAGTCTACAACCTGGAATGGGCTCTTACTAGAACTCATGATGGCTAACCGATCTCGGACTTCCAGCCTCCAGAACTGTGAGACATAAATTTCTGTTATTTATAAGCCAACCAGTGTAAGGTGCTTTGTTCTAGCAGCCTGAGCTGAGTAAGACAGAACCTTAGTTCAAACAGTGACAATCTCAATAATGAGTTGGGATACTTATCAGTACTTGAACTGGGTCTATTTTTTAAGTTAATATACAGTAATACTGACTGTGTGTGTGTGTGTGTATGTGTGTGTGTGTGTGTGTGCGCGCGCACACATCCTGTTCCATGAATTTTTGTTGTTGTTGTTGAGACAGAGTCTTGCTCTATAAGCCTAGGCTGGAGTGTAGTGGCACAATTTTGGCTCACTGCAACCTCTACCTCTCCCAGGTTCAAGTGATTCTCCTGCCTCAGCCTCCCAAGTAGGTGGGACTACGGACACATACCACCACAGCCAACTAATGTTTGTATTTTTTAGTAAAGATGGGGTTTTGCCATGTTGGCCAGGGTGGTTTCAATCTCCTGATCTCAGGTGATCCACCCCACTCAGCCTCCTAAAGTGCTGAGATTACAGGCATGAGCCATCATGCCCAGCCCGTTCCATGAATTTTGGCCTGCAGAGACAGTCATGTTTCCATCACCACAATCAGTACATGGAAATGTTCTATCGTCTTATAAAACTCCCTCTTGCTGTTTTTTGTAGCCACACTTGCCCTGCAACTGCCAGTCTATGAAAATCACTGATCTATCCTCTATCACTGTAGTTTTGTGATGTATAGAATGTTGTATACATGAAAGCACAGAGCATGTAACCTTTGAGACTGGCTTCTGTCACTCAGAAAAATGACCTAGAGATTAATCCAGGTTGCTGCTGGTATCAACAGTTCCCTGGCTTTATTGCTGAGTATGGAGAGACCACAGTTTGTTTATCCATTTACCCCATTCACTGAAGGATGTTTGGGTTGTTTTCAGTCTTTGGAGATTATGAATAAAATTGCTATATTCTTCAGTATACTTCAAAAACAAGTTGCTATAAACACTTACATACAAGTTTTTGGGTAAACACAAGTTTTCATTTCTCTTGGATGAATACTCAAGAGTGGGACTGCTGGCTTGTATGGTGAGAATATGTTTAACTTTGTAAGAAAATGCCAAACTATTTCCCAAAGTAGCTGCACAATTTTGCATTCCTATTAGCAATATGTGAGAGTTCCAGTTGCTTCACATCCTCACCAGCACTTGCTACTATCAATATTTTTATTTTTAGCCATTCTAAAACGTATATAGTGAAAACTATGACCTTCTGGTTACTGAATTTTGAAAAGCATATAGGCAGATTAAGAGATTTATCTCAAATGTTATCTTAATTTATTTGGTTACTTGTTTGGATAGCAAAAGATACATGCCTAGGTAGTAATACTATGAAGAAAACAATGAATTGATTAGTATATGAGCAGACAGTGTTTAGGGAAGTGGATGCAATACAGTAGATGCACAAGGGGGCTCTAAGATATTGATAATATGTTCTTTATAAGGCAGGATGGTAGACAGATGTGATGTGTTTTATTATTCTTGACCTGCCCATGTGTTTGATATATTTCACAACACAACATTTTAAAAGAAAGATGAACACACAAAACACAATACAAGGAATGAAAAATATTTTAAAACCTCTCTTTCAGGACTTCAAGTACGGTGAGTTAAAAAAAGGAAAATAAAAGAATTTTGTAGAATTTGAACATAACACTTTCTTTTTTTTTTAGGTACAAGTTTTAATTGGATCATTTTTTGGTCCAGTTAGCTTAGATTCATCATATGCTTTTACTCCTGCACGATTAGTCAGTGTAGTTATTCAGTACCTCGTCTATAAACCACACTGTGTCACTGCTGTGGCTAGTGCTAACGAAATGTAAAGTACGTCCTTCGTTCTCAAGGATCTTATAAAGTACCTGAGCAAACAAAACTAGTAACCTGAAGTACATCATATCATACCACTGTTAAAATCTTTCACTGAGTCTCTATTATAATTAGCATTCTGTGTTCAATAAGGCTTCTTTCATTCCCCATCCCATCCCCTTAGCATGTTTTTTTTTTGTTTTTTGTTTTTTTTTTTTTTTTTGAGACACAGTCTTGCTCTGTCACACACTTTCTTAAAAACCTGTTTAAACTTAATTTCTTTAATATTTCGGTGCTTGTGTTTATCCCACAGGCAAAGTTGTTAATGGGCCACTTTATCAATGGGCTTATTTATTTCCAGAGGCCTCAATCTACATGCACTCGAAGGGCTGGTCATGGTAAAGTCATTCTAAATGATAGGCAACAAGTAGCTTCTTCCTAGAACTAAGAACTAAGACTGAGTCAAGAAACATTCAGACGTCCCATCAGGCCACAATCTAGACTTATAACTCTTTGGTAGTTCTGATTGTTACCAGCCCCGGAAGGAGGTGTTACCTGTGACAACACTGGGGATTTTGGAGAGAAAGCTCTTGACTGTTCTGATGGGTACACCCCCTGTCTTGTCATCTTGCATCTTTGTAATGATGTCTTCAATCTGAAAGAGGTTCAAAAAAGAAGTGTTATTTTCTCCCATAATGTAATCGTAAATGGTACCTTTTTAAACAGCTCAAATGTGTAAACTTGGACGTCAATGACATATCAGAAAAAGTTCCCATCTAATCCCTCAATAAATACAGTATCAGTATTTGCTATCTACCACATGCTGGGTATAGGGAGGTCTGAAATATACATACAGAGCCTAAGTCATGTCCTGGAACAAGTTTCCAGTTCAATGAGTTATGGAGGAAGAAATACATTAAAATTCTTGATGGGATCCAACATATAATTCAATATGTATGTGATCACAGTCTCCTTCCTTCCCAAATTGGGTTTATATATAGGTTGAAACATATGAAATTTCTACATTCAACCCCGACCCCTTCCACAAAGGTAATTTCTTATGGTTCAATCTAATATGTTGACATAGATTAACATGCCACTATTGCGAATTGCAGACAGGGCTACCTTTGGGATCAGAGAAGTATATGTCTAGAGTCACATGAGAGAAAAACAAGACATGGAAAGCTCTGATCTGAAGAAGCTGGAAAACAGCTCTCAGTGGTCATAAGTGGTGATGTGTGGATAGCTATTTGAGCCTGTACTAAGGTGGTCAAGGACAGGATCTTCTTTTGGTAAGACCAGGCTATCAGGAGAAAAGATCACAGTGGGCTGTGACATCTTACTGGGGAAAACAGAACAGAGAATGAGGATTGACTGATGAGGGCATAGGTGCCTAAATTGGGAAACCAATTTTTAGCTAATAATTTACAAGCCAGAGTCATTTCCTGATCAGAAATATTCAGAACAGGGTACAGGAAAAATTCTGTATTAAGGACAGATCTTTTTGTTTGGGGAAAGGAGAGCAACTGAAGGGGAGAAAATAATGTTTACTATTATCACGTTTTATTTTCCTAACCAATAGAAATATCTTCGAAACACCAGGATGGAGTCTCTGAATGAGTCCTTAATAGAGGTTCATAAGGCTAGAAATGAGTCTTACAGCTCACTTATTCTAACATACCACTATTGCAACTTGATGTTAAGTGATTTACTCGAAGACATATGCCTAATTACTTGTTAGAGACAAAGTTAGGGCATGGCATGACATCATCATCATCACTAACAGCCAAAATATGTTAAAAATTTATTATGTATGAGGTACTATTCTAAGTATTATACACACATTATCCTGTTTAGTCCTCATAATTACTTCGTGACATAGATTCTACTATTATCTCCACTTTTTCATATAAAGAAATGAAGATTTAGTGAGGCACATCAATCAGGGTAGGGTGGATTAAGTTATGGTAGCAAATAACCTCCCAAATGTCAATGGCTAAGCACAAAGGTTATTTCTATCTCATGCTACATGTCTAGTGCAGGTCAATAAGGGAACTCTGCTCATTGGAGTTACGTCACCTTGCATGTTGCTGGTCACTGTGCCAGAAGAGAGAATTCTGGAGAGTTTCTCAATGGGTATTAAACAGTATAATCCAGAAGTTACATAAAGCATGCTTGCTCACAATCCTTTGGCCAGAACTGATCACATAGCACCACCCAACCACAAAGGAGCCAGGGACTCCATCATCTGGGTGCCAGGAGGAAAGGGGAACTGAAGATCTGTGATGAACATGAGCGACAATTGCAGAGCTTAAATAACCTTTGCAACCTTTGCAGGGTCACACAGCTACCCATGTGTGCAGCCAAGTTTGAATCTAGCCATAGATCCCAGAACAGCATCTAACCCCTGGGCCATTCTGCCTACCAGTAAGATTCCCAGAAAATCAGCCAAGCATGGAAACCATTCTCACTGGATTCTTCTGGGTTTCTCTAAGAAGTACCAAAAGTGAAAAAGAATCCTTAGCTCCCAGCCTTTCAGAGGGTAGATGAGTGTCATGCTAGAAAAAAAAAAGTCATTCTCTGAAGACCTGAATTCTGTTAAATGAAAACCGAAGAGGGGGTTTTATCCTAATTCATGTTAATAATCTCAGTTACTGCTGGCCTTTTGTCTCCTAAACTCAACCCAACAATTGAGAGCAGTTTGAGTATTATTCGATAGCCAAGGAGAGCTATTCCTAGAAAAATGGTCACATTTTCAAGGTAATTTATGTTTTTGATCTAGCATATTATTTGAAACCAGAAGTATCAGTTACATTGATGGTTTCTATGAAAATGGCCAGAAAATCATTGAGAATTGGAAGGAATCCAATTCGATTCAGGTAGACCCCTGAGTGGACCTTAGATGGTAATGATTTACACCTCTGCTGCCGTTGGCTGGATTTGAAGGACTGGCTCTGTGACTTCTTTTTCCTCCACTCAGTTTGTTATCTCACCACACAACTGAATCTTAGAAGGCTCATTTACTAAAGAGGTCCTATCTCCTTATGTTGGCCCCACAACATACTAAGAGGTACATCATTCATCAGGGGTCACAGCTAGATAAAAAGGACAATCCCCTCAAATAACAGACAGAAGACTGCACTCCAGGAATAGTCTGCAACATCACAGGTGTGGAAGAAGGAATGATTGATCCCCAATTTCTGACTGTGCCATGGTATTAATAGGTACTTGGATACTTGCCCTGGCCTCATGGTGAGCAGACTCTACCTCTTCTCTTTTGGGTTTGGCCATGTGATTTGCCTGGCTACTGGGGTATTATTGAACATGATAGGAACAGAGACTTGCTGTGTACTGCATGGCTGCGGTTACTGTCTTCTCTTGCCCTCTTACCATGAGAAAAACATGCCTCAGATAGTTGTTATTCCAAGAAAGATGAAAGACATCTGGAGCAAATGATACTGAACCCATTGCTAGATCAGCCAAACTCAGCTGGCCTGTAGGCTTGTGAGTAAGAAATAAGTGCTTATTTTTGTAGATCATGAAGTTTTAAGTGGTTTGCTCTACAGCAAAATTATGACACAACAAGGCTCTGAAAAAATTGCATTTATCAGAAAATTCTGAAGCCACAACAAATACTTGACAATCAGAGTCAGTGAATTGTAGAATTGGGGTATCTCTCAATCACCCTTTCTAAGAATGAAGATATTCAACTTATTCCCACCCATCTATTTAAAAACTTAGGGACTACATATACTATTTAGGCAGTCTGTTCCTTTGTTGTGTCAGACAAATTTTTGGTGTTGTTGTATTTGATTCTTGGGCACAGTCCACTACAATATCGGCTAATAATGCTCTCTGAAATTCCTTGTCATGGTTTCTGGACAATTCCCAAGAGTACAGATCCAATGAAAATTACAAGTGGGCTCTCAGGAACTGATAAAAATAATTACAAATCTTTTTTGAACATCTATTTTATGATCGATACTGCCCTAGGTATTTTAAATATTTGATTCTTTAGTCATAAAAGTTATTTAATAAAGACACTGAAATTGAGGCTCAGAAAGGTCAAGCAATTTATCCAAGGTCAAACAGCTAGCAAGTGGCAAAGCCAGGATTCCTACTCACATCTTCCTGACTGACGTACAGCACAGTTTATCCAATCTAAAGTTCATCTTCTATTTCTCAGACATTTAGAAAAACTTGTTTACAACCCTTCTCTGAGTAGTGTGACTATTAGGTTCATCCATGAGGGCAGCTCCTGGAAGGTAATGTTCAGAGGCGTGAACCCAGTGAGTGGCCCAGAGACGGGCTGATCCTAGGAACCTTACTTCTCCTAGCGCCATATGCCAAGGTTGCTGCTTTGTTTGCTGTGGATCCCAGGGTGAGCACCAGTGGAGTCTGGAGTTGGCCCCTTACACTACACGACCCATTAAGTCTTGAGCTGAACCTAGCACCCAAAGAAAGCTTTTAGTCTCAGTACCACCTGGTACACTCCAAATTCTTAACCTTTTGGCTCTAGTATTTTTAATTCATTTCTTCCTTGCTGGACAATGAGTATAATACATTTTACCTTACAAAAGGGGCAACTCTTTGTCTATGGCCTTAGTAGTTGATTAAAAATACAGAACAGAGATATATATACATAGCCTCTCATCTCCCCCCTTAGATTCAAAGCCTTTGTTTAGGCAGAGATTATAGTTGGGTTTTCATTTTCATTTTCTTAGTTAACATGAGTTGAGTATCCACTCTGGGCCAGGTGATGCTGTAAGAGCTTTACCTTATAAACTCACTGAATTCTCACAGGAGGTAGATTATTATATCCCCATTTTATAGACAAGGGAACAAAGATTCATCTTTGTGTCTTCACCCAAAGCCTGCCAACAACCTTTTCAGACACAAGGCACTTAATACCATTTGCATCGAAGGGAAAGTTTAGCACAGGCCTAAAAGGGCAGAGGAGGATGCAGAGAAATTGATCCAGATAATCAGATTCTCAACCATCTCATGATTTATTTCTTCCCAGTGAATGCTGCTGTCTTGCTGTGCAGCGCTCTCCCCCTTTGTCCCACGGGCTTGGTTAGATTTATCCTCCACTGGTAGACCGTGGCTTCTGGGTCAGGGATGGGGTGATGGGAAGGTATAGAGACTTACGTTTTCCTGACTGTTCAGTTCCTTCTAATGCCTGACACCTTTTGTTCCTAAAGAAGAGCAAAATCAATTCCCCGACATCCTTTAAGATGAAGTTCTGTGTCATTAGGAAGGCTGTTTGGACTTAAGGGTCACTGTGCCCATCAATAAGCAGGTGGCCCTTATCTGACAGGCAAATGATGCAGAGAAACCACTTGGCCAGCTCAGCTGGTTCTGCCTGGATGGGCCAAGCCATGGGAACATCCTTCTTCAGGGAGCTCAAAGCTCAGCACTGACAGGCAGGTAAAACATTCTTCCAAACAGCAGGGCACTGGAAACCATTATGCCATAGAGTGGGTTTTCTTTTAAATGAGAAATACATAAAGGTGGATACAATTCACCGAAATAGCCCCAAGAGTGTGAGAAAAGAGTGAGGAGAAGCAATCTTCTCTTTACAAACAGAAGCCACAGAGAGGCAGTAGGAAGAACGTCGGGGAAGAACCCAGGACACCGGCTGGCCTCAGCTTC